ATAATCTTCATAAGCTAGACTTCAAAGCTAGTTGGGCTAACGTCCGAAAGGTCTTTTCCATATGACAACCTCATATCAGTTACACAACCAAAAAAACATACTTGGTACATTGATACTACACCATGCATTCAGAGTAAAACTAAGAATTGTTTACCCATCAGGTTTATAATATTTCGAACCCACAGCGCATAACCACGTTATTTCTCTCCCTTAAAGTAATTAATATGGCGTTTACTTTTATTACTATGTCTGAGTATAGTGTATAATCTAGGAACTGAGACAACACTTTTATTTGACGTTGTATTTATACAAAGAATATTGTGGGTAGCTTGGAAGCATTTTTAGTTTTCTTTTACTCAGACTACATTTGGGAAATCCATTTAGTGTTGTCAGTTGAATTAAACATCAGTTTTCAGTAATAAATATTATAGGTTGAAGGTTGATTTGGCTGTAGCGATTCTTACACTAAGTATTTCTGTTAAGCTTTAGTTTCTTCTCAAAGGGTCCATTGATGAAACTGATATGACTTGTCCGGATAGAGGATCTTGTTGATCCGAATAATCCATACGATGTTAATTCAGTTCTGTGATCAAATGTGTTCAGTTGGATGACCGCAGTATACTTTCTAGATGATATAAAAGTCTGGAGAATAATAAGTAGTGATAATACTAAGCTCGAGAGTAAGCTGGTTCAAATGAATGAGCTAGGTGCTCATAAAGTTTGGATTGGAAGACCAATATCAGAAAGTGACCGAGTGCACATCAGCCACAACGACAACAACAACGACCAGAATTACATGACAAATGGGACGCCACTCTCACAAGATTAAGAACACCTAGAAACTTTAAGTCGTGACTTGAAAAAGACCTCACACTACAATGCAACAGCTGCTAAATGGTGCTGCGTATTATGGTCACTTCGCAAAATCTTTAGATTCCTTGACGAAAATATATTTCAGATTTCATACCCCATTCACCTGACACTTCACCTAAAATACTGCATCCACCCAGCTAATCCATGTCTTTTTAAAGATACTGACACTCTCGAGCATGTCTGACAAGTAAGTAATAACACAGTAAATGTCCTGACCAGTTTCTCGCATCATAAGAAATTACAACACTTAAATTCTCTACCTTATAATCAAATGTGAGGCCAGGTTACATTGGAATTTCGTACCCTTAACGATCAGTTATGTGCTGACATGTCTACCTTCTTGTTAGCTTGAAGACTAGCCATCCTCGATGCCTTCACAAAAAAGATAAAAAGACTCACAATTAAACACACTCAAGATAGGATTCTATTTTCTCAGTGGTCATCGACAAGATCCTCTATCCGGACAAGTCATATCAGTTTCATCAATGGACCCTTTGAGAAGAAACTAAAGCTTAACAGAAATACTTAGTGTAAGAATCGCTACAGCCAAATCAACCTTCAACCTATAATATTTATTACTGAAAACTGATGTTTAATTCAATTCATGTATTTGTGACATGTTTTGGTCTGGCCGCCCCTCGCTTTCTTCCATCCTACTCCTACACCATAAAACATCGCTTGTCGGAGTAACAGAGTCAAATGCCGCCTTAAGTCGAAAAATACTACTATTGTGGAACGTCTGAATGTTCGTCTATGTTCTAGGACCTGACGAATTGGGATTATCTGGTCTATACAGCCACGTCCAAGTCGGAAACTAGCCTGGTTTTCTCTAGTCTGCTCTGCACGAGCTTTAGTTAGGCGTCGAAGTATTATTAAAGCTAATATTTTATACACTGTATTAGTCAGGCTGATCCCTCTGTGACTGTCACAAGAGGACTTTTGTGCCTTCTTATAGACTGACACAATCAGTGATTGAGACCAGTCAGACGGGATTACGTCCAGTTCCCAGATTCTACCTAAGACCTTAGTCAATCTCACTGCCAATACTGGACTGCCATCCTTAAAAACCTCAGAGGTAAACCAGTCAGGACCTGCTGCTCTCCCTCGCTTCAGATTTCCTATAGCTTTTTCAACTTCGTTAAGTGTTGGAGGACCTACATCAACATGCCATTCAGGTCGACTGTAGATTGAGGGAAACCGAAGTGTGGCTGAAGGCCAGTTGAAATGATCCCTAAAGTGTTCCGCCCATCGATCCAGTCTCCTGGATTGAGAGTGAATAATATGTCCATCTTTTCCCGAGATACTTTCGCTGAAAGTTGGATTCATAATACCTGTGTCCTTGACAAGTCTTAACAGTTGTCTGCTGCTACTGCAGTCAGATATAGAAGTAACTTCAAACATAGTCCACGTTCTATTCAGGAAGATCTCGGGGGAAGAACAAGTGCCGCAGATAGACTAGAAAGAAGGATATTTCATCAAGATACCACAAAAAGATCTGAGCAAGTGCGAGAGCTACAGGGGCATCACACTACTATCCGTACCAGGGAAAGTTTCAAAAAAGTGTTATTGGACTGGATGGAAAGTTCAGTAAACGTTCAGCTTCAAGACCAACAGACCTGATTCAGTAGGGATCGGTCATGCACAGACCAAATCGCGACACCAGGATCATTGTTTAGTAATCGATTAAATGGAACTCGTCACTATACATCAACTTCCTTGACTACGAGAAAGTATTCGGCAGTGTATGTAAGAGGACTTTATGGAAACTTCTTCGGCACTATGGAATGAGTACCTAAGAACATCGTCAACATCATACGGTATTCATACGACGGACTACAGTGCAAAGTGGTGCATGTAGAACAGCTGACAGACGCATTCCAAGTAAGGACCGGAGTCAAACAAGGCTCTCTATTCTCCTCCTTTCTATTTCTTCTTGTGGTTAATTGGATTATCGAGATGCCCTCATCTCAAGGAAACCACGGAATACAATGGACAGGTTGGGTGCAACTAGACGGTTCGGACTTCGCAGATGACCTGGCCTTTCAGTACCGTACACACCAACAAATGCATATCAAGACAGCCAGTGTAGCAGCAGCCTCTGAAGCAGTAGACCTCAACATACACAAGGGCAAAATCATGATCCTCAAATGCAACACGGAGAACACCAATCCAATTACACTTGATGCAGAAACTTTGGAAGATGTGGTCTTTCACGTACCTGGGAAGCATCATCGGTGAACAAGGAGGACCTGATGCAGATGTAAAGGCGAGGATTGGCAAAGCAAGGACAGCATTCCTACATTTGAAAAACATATGGAACTCAAAACAACTGTCTATAAACCAATATCAAAGTCAGAATCTTCAATACGAACGTCAAGACAGTTCTACTGTACAGAGCTTAAGCTCCGAGAACTATTACAACCACCATCAAAAGGGTACAGGTATTTATAAGCAATTTTCGACACAGTCAGTTGTGGGTTTGCGAAACGTCCCGCTTATAAGCACTGGGTTTCTTCTGGTTCCTTACAACTCATTGAAGCCCGTCGGTCTACTCCGGGTGACCGTGAGTTTGACCACAAACGAAGGATGTTACGTAATGAAATTGGACAAAGCTTGCGTAAGGACCAAGAAGCCTGGTGGTCGAAGCGTGCTAATGAGCTGGAAGCAGCAGCTGCATCTGGTAACTACCGGAAGCTCTTCCAACTCATCCGAGCCACTGGCAGCAAGAAGTCTGGTGTGAGCGAAACAATCTGCGAGGATGATGGGATGCCAATCACTAACATCCATCGACGTCTTGGACGATGGGCAGAATTTTTCGAAGGGCAGTTCAACTGGCCTGCTGCTCCCGCAACATCGGTCAGACTGTCCTGCCTCCATGGCCGGTGACGACTTATCCACCAAATGAGGCGGAAAAACGCAAGGAATTCCAACTCTTGAAGCGTTACAAATCACCTGGCCAAGATGACTTACCTCCGGCTCTTTTTAAAGATGGTGGTGACTTTCTGACTAAGGAATTGACGACGTTGTTTACAAAAGTTTGGGAACTAGAGAGTGTACCAACGTTATGGAATGAGTCGATAGTTGTCCCTATCTTTAAAAAGGGTTCACGTCGTTCCTGTAACAACTATCGGGGGATAAGTCTACTTCCGATTGCGTCCAAGTATTGGCTTCCGTCATACTACGTCGGTTGTTCAAAACCCGAGAAAGATTGACTCGCGAGGAGCAGGCTGATCATATCTTCACCCTCCGCCAAATGTTAGAACACCGTCATACTTTTCAAAGGCCAACAATCGTAGTGTTTCATGACATTAGGGCTGCCTTCGATTCGTTGGACAGGACTGTTCTCTGGGATTGTCTATTGAAGAAGGGTGTGCCTGAGAAGTTTATTAACATCCTAAAAGCCCTATATACAAACATCTCAGGCAGTGTCGGGGAATACAACCACCTTTCTCCATTGTTCCATTCGAGTAGTGGGGTTAGGCAGGGTTGCCCAATCTCACCATTCCTCTTCAACTTTGCCATCGGTGACATTCTGGGAACAGGTCTGATGGATGTAAGTAATGGTGGTGTGGATCTGTTGCCTGAAGAAAGACTTCTCGACCTTGAGTATGCGGATGATATTGTCTTACTGTGCGATAGTGCCCAGGGCATGCAATCCGCACTTAATCAGTTGGCAATTAGTGTCCGTAGGTATGGTATGTGCTTTGCACCTTCGAAGTGCAAAGTACTTCTACAAGACTGGCAAGATTCTAATCATGTACTCACCCTGAATGGTGAGCAGATGGAAGTAGTCGGGAAGTTCGTGTATCTGGGTAGCTGCATAAGTGCTGGTGGGGGTGTGAGTGATGAGATCAATGCACGAATAGTGAAAGCCAGAGCGGCTTATGTCAATCTGGGCCACCTTTGGCGCCTTCGTGATGTTAGTCTGGCTGTAAAAGGTCGGATCGACAACGCGTCGGTGTGAAACCTGGCATCTCCGAGTTGAGGACGTTAGACGACTCTCTGTGTTCGATCATCGCTGTCTCCGAAGGATTGCTGACATCCAGTGGCAACATCATGTCAGTAATGCAGATGTTCTTTCACTTTCTTCATAAAAAGTGGTTGTGTCTCCCTTAACTGAAAGATTTCTTCCGATTGTACCTTTTCGTTCCCTCCTTACTACCTTACACCAATCTCTTCGTTAGTGCTCCCTTTTTTTACGCCCTTACCTGTTTTTTTTTCTTTTTTCTCTTTGAATTCTCATTGTTTTGTGTGGCGCATATATATTGGCGTTCTCTTGTACCAATATTTATGTGTTCAAATAAATAAATTCTACAAGATAGTCATTGTCCGTTGGCCGGATATCATCAGCAACAGCCTACCGCGGGAGAGAACAAACCAGCATCCAACTGAAACGGGAACTAGGAAAAGACGCTGAGAATGGGTTGGATATACAAACTCAAGTCTGATATGCGGTCGATATCTACAGCAATGGATTATGTGATGTCACGAAGTCGGTTGTAATATGACAATCACTTTATTTGCGATTACTTTCCTACAAATTTCAAAACGCGTATCCTTACTCAATACCATACAACTCCTAAAGCCTATATCATCAAACACATTGTGTCCAAACGACTCGTCCTACAACATGATTAAACAATGAATGACTTAGCTGAAATCTGTACAAGCTCGAATATCCATCGACCGTATCACACTGCTAAAACGCACTACTTAGTACAACACAACAGATCAACATCATTCGCAGCTCGAGAAAACAGAACTACGTTTAGAAATAAAATCAAACTAAAATTTATTTTTTAATTTTACTTTAACAGAAATCACATGCCTCCACGTAGGCGCAAAACAAGATGTAAGGTTGACTCTTTCTGGATGTTGTAGTCAGACAGAGTACGTCCATCTTCCAACTGCTTACCAGCGAATATCAAACGTTGTTGGTCAGGAGGAATACCTTCTTTGTCTTGGATCTTAGCTTTCACATTCTCAATAGTATCACTAGGCTCAACCTCCAACGTGATCGTCTTACCAGTCAACGTCTTCACAAAGATTTGCATTCCACCACGTAGACGAAGGACAAGATGCAGAGTCGACTCTTTCTGGATGTTGTAGTCAGACAGAGTACGTCCATCTTCCAACTGCTTACCAGCGAATATCAAACGTTGTTGGTCAGGAGGAATACCTTCTTTGTCTTGGATCTTAGCTTTCACATTCTCAATAGTATCACTAGGCTCAACCTCCAACGTAATCGTCTTACCAGTCAACGTCTTCACAAAGATTTGCATTCCACCACGTAGACGAAGGACAAGATGCAGAGTCGACTCTTTCTGGATGTTGTAGTCAGACAGAGTACGTCCATCTTCCAACTGCTTACCAGCGAATATCAAACGTTGTTGGTCAGGAGGAATACCTTCTTTGTCTTGGATCTTAGCTTTCACATTCTCAATAGTATCACTAGGCTCAACCTCCAACGTAATCGTCTTCCCTGTCAATGTCTTTACGAATATTTGCATTTTCCGAGTATTTCCAAATACAGTAATGAAGACTATACAAACAGCTGACGAATTTATATACTGATTTCTGGAACTTCCGAATTAGATGGTTAAAACAAAGGTAGCTCTCAAGGGATTTAATAATCCATGCATCAGGAACTGGTGATATGAGAACGGGCATTTGCAGTCAGGCAGATTTAAAAATTAAATAACATGATCTCATCGGTAGGAGAGACGTGATCTCATCATTGCAGTCATGTAACTCAATTATTTGCATCCTGACAGTCCTAGAGAAGAATCACTCTCATTTATAGATGAACCATGAGGTCCGTCGATCATTAAAATGAAGAAAGGTTTTGGAGCGCTGTCATCAGCCTTGGCACAGCAAATACGATGAAACGTTTCAGGTCGGTCAGAAATAAGTGTAGAATTACAACCCAGGTAGTTCAGTAAAAATGTGGAAATAGGTTGGCACAATCTGAAAACAGACAGCCAAAGAGACTGTTCTTGTACATAAATTACAGAATAAGGACGCACCATTGATTCCTCAACGCAATTACAATATTGTGTGGGTCCCAGTCAGTGGAGGAAGACCAGGACAATGCAGAGGTCGTAGTAGACAATTCCAGGACAGTTTTCACTCATGACCATCTTCTAGACAAAATATTAGCCCTTAATCTGAAGTCAGATAATAGGTTTCCTTTTGTGGAATCGTATATTGGTGTAATGCTTGACTTTTCGAATTACGAAATCCAGAACTGTGTTCAGTACATAGGTTTCCCTTAGGTGGTTTGCTTTGTAAACATTTTGACATCTCATCTTTACTGTTTTAACAACCTTATGAAGCCTATCGGACATGTTTTCCCACCGAGTCATATTTCATTTGAATAATATACCATTTAACATCTAGTCATCTTAGTTACCCATGGTGTTGATGGTGAGCACAACATGTTCAGACATAACAGGATGTACTCTATGTTCTTGCTCCTTGAATCATGTTCTATACGTATTTTTTTAAAGCATATTCTAACTCTCGAATTCAGACGGAAGTCGAACTTAGAGACTGACTTTGAAACTGAGTTTATTTTCCAGAGAACTTACCGGCTGAAGATTTACGTCATTTCTCTGATGATGCTTTAGACAGTGTCCATTCTTACTTACGCCTGTTACTTCTGTGGAGAAGGCCGCCCACCAGGGCTATCCATCTAACCCAAACCTGGAAAATCCTTCCTACGTATTTCCAGTCGTCACTCATTCTTTTCATATCCGTTTCTATTTCGTGACGTGATATATTCTCTAGTTTCCATTCTTGACTGGTTAATAATTTAGCCCCGTCAAATGCGCGGTATTGTGAGTTGTGACTAATTGACAAAATGCGGATGTGGCGCTCTAATAAAAACAGTCAGGTTATCGACCTGTATTTCTTGTTGCTTCCTGACAATTTTAGTGCTTGCCTTGTGTCTACGTTTTTATCACGTATCAATATATTACTAATCTCATAGCTTCTAAGGACACTCTTAAGTATGTTCTATTTAAAACGCCTGTTTTAATACTTTTCTTCCTTACTTAATTGCGTACGCCTGTTGCCCCCAATCGAGCATAGACTGCCGATCAGCATTCTCCAACTTACTCTGTCCTGGGTCTTCCTTTCTAGTCCTATTCAGTTTTTGTTCATTCCTCTCGTGTTTGTCTCCGTTTCTCGGAGCAGAGTGTTCTTTGGTCACCATTTTCTCTTTTGGCATTAGGGAGTCCAAGTGAGCGCTCGCCTTGTGATGCAGTTGAGTGCTTCCCTCAATGTGTGTCTTGTCCAATTCCAGCACTTCTTCCTGATTTCTTCCTTCTCTGTGGTCTGGTTTGTTCTCTCCCAAAGTAGGTTGATGCTGATAGTGTCTGACCAACGGATTCGAAGTATTTTACGTCGACAACTTTTAATAAAAACTTGTATCTTGTGAATGATGGCTTTTGTAGTTCTCCAAGTTTACGCCACATACAGTAGAACTGTTTTGACATTTGTATTGAAAATTCTGACATTGGTGTTGGCTTGTGGACAGTTGTTTTGAGTTCCAGATGTCCTTCAGTTGTACATATACTGCTCTTGCTTTGCCTATCAGCGCCTTCACATCTGCATCAGATCTACCATGTTGATCAATGATGCTGCCCAGATATATAGAGGTTTTTACATCTTCCAAATCTTCTACTTCCAGCGTGATTCGGTTGTTGCATGCTGTGTTGTATCGGGGAGTCTTGATTTTCCCTTTGTGTTTATTGAGACCTACTGTTGCTGAGGCTGCTGCTACACTGGTCGTATCCTATATTTGTTGTTGCGTGTGCGATAGAAGATCCAGATTATCTGCGAAGTTTTAGACCGTCCAGCTGCTGTCCGTTTTATACCATGCTTCTCCCCAGATGTTGACCTTTTCATAACACAGGCGATCACCAGGAGAAAGAGAAAGGGTGAGAGTAAGTAACCTTGCCTGACGTCGGTCTTTACCGTCATAGGAATTCCGTATGGGATTGAGTATCTTTTCAGGCATTCCATAGTGTCAAAGAAGCCTCCATAGTGTTGTTCTGTCCACACCATCAAATGCTTTCTCGTAATCAATAAAGTTGATGTAAAGTGATGAATTTCATTCAATTGATTGTTCCACAATGATCCGTAGGTTGCGAATTGGTCTGTACACGATAGATCCTTACGGAATTCAGCCTGTTAGTTTCAAAGTTTGGCATCTACTGAGTACTTCATTCTGTTTAACAATACTCTGTTGAAGACTCTTCCCGATATTGAGAGAACAGTGATACCCCTGTAGCTCTCACACTTGCTGAGATAGTTAGGTATAAATTCACGTAATTTTGGAGTATATATAAGCCCTGGCCATATATCCATCTGGAACATCCGAGGCATTGATGATGGCGCAGGATAAAGTCACTCGTTCCATATGCGTTATCGGTGGCATGACTTGAGATGTCTGAAAAAGAGGGTAAAAAAGAAAGGACGAAAATCAAAGCAGACAATGTTCATGCATATTGTGGTGAAATAGTGAGAGTATGACTACTTAGTTTGATTTTTTATTATTACGATTCTTTTTAAGCAAGAGCATTCTGGTAGGTTGAAGAAAACAAGCGTAAATACGGTATGAATGGACAAAGAAATGTATAAATGGACGTGATCCAAAAAGAAGCCGAAAGTATAGGATTATGTGAAGTTTTAAAATATAGTACTGAAAAACTGGCTATCTCGCTTTTTTGTCGAAGCTATTTCGGCTCATTTTTACTTTTATCGATTCGATAGGGTCATGAGCAGGCTTCGCATTTAGCGAATTGTCTAGGATTACTCGATAGGAAGTGAAACCAAACAAACACGATTTAAAGGGGCAGTTTGTATAATAAGTTAGCATCAATACCATTTGTTCATGGCATTCCACCAGACCATAAGAAGCCTTAATTTAACAAAATGTTCTGCCCTATAGACATGGGTGGATAGCAGTTATCTGCCCACCATCATGTTTGCTGGTCAGTGACGCCACCCCCCTCCTTTTGTGATGTTAGGCTCTCTTACGTTTGTGGTGTGTATGAATATTGCTTTAATCTAAGCTCCTTTCTGGAATACACTGTCTCTACTAGTTCTATGTTACAAGCAGTTTAGATCAGATGGTTAAAGCTCTATATTCTGAGTTAGATATCCATTAAGTATATCACACCGCTATAAAGATAACTAATGGTAAACATTAGAAAACACATATCAGATTATATGTGGTTTATAGATGGCAAGGATATATCGCAAATCAAAGGATATGAAAGAGTTTAGGATTGTAAATTTTCCGGAGTAAGAAAACAAAACATTGGACGACTCATAGGAATTTAGGACAAATGTAATGTGAGATGATAGTGATGAATTTCTATGTGTGATAATGATGTGAGATGTGAATAGGACCAGACGTGATAGCTCAGATAGATGGTCCAAGTTCGGTGAGTAGTAAGGCCTTCATCTTATTGGGGGGGGCGGTAGGATTTAGCAATATATAGAAAGCTTTAGCTACCAGTCTTTCTTTGCAGTTGAAAAAGCTTTCGTGAATTTTCACGGTATTTTTAATATAGAATGGATGGTTTGTGAAGAGGGCATGCTATTTGGAGTCTTTCAACTTCTTCCGGATTGTTAGGTGACTTTTTGTTCATATCAGAAGTTTTTTGGCTCAACTCAGGATTTATCGAAAATATAATGCATCACAATTAAAACCCATTATCGATAGATACAATTATTTGTTGATATAAAGATAATCTCATGCTTCACATGAACTAAAGCATTTCGAAAGGTGTTAGTTCCTTAGAAGCCTCCTTTGAGTCTGTATTGCTTTAAGATCTTTCGAAGCCTTTCTGTCATACCATGGTGGTATCGGGAAACCACGGTACAAATCCGTGATACTTCATCCAAACTTCTACATAAATCATCTCGCCTTAGTGTGTGTCGGTTTGTGATAGTTAGATTTAGAGTTAAGCATATATTTCTTTTAATTAAGCGAACATAAAATTGACGTGTAACCGTGTCCATCTTCATTCTTACAAGTTAATTTCATGTGTGATGAGAGTGCACTAATCAATTAAAAAGTTCTAAAGGACTTTCTTCTCATGATAGAGCATCATCCATACTTTTAGGTAACATTCACAGTTCAATGAAGGTGGCTTATGTTCTAGGTCAAAATGTGTCGGTTTTGTGACAAAGCGCATAACGTAGATTGTTATCAAATCACAAACTCGGAGTTGCGGACTCCAACCATCTGATGTATGGTGCCGTGAGGTCTTAAATGACAGTACAGCAATTATCCCTACCTCAAAAGGAGTTATGAATCACATCAAAATTGTCAGCACGACAACCTAGAATATGATATATTCCTCCCGCATTCACTGAATCACGTGTAAACGTCATTACAAAACTAATTGTACTACATCTATCATTTGCGTGCCTCCTCCAATAATGTGCATGAATGCACGCCAAATTGACATGAAATCTGACGCTTGACGGACATTTGCTGGGGTAGTTTGTCAGCAAAAATCTTTTTTGGGATACGTTTGGTTGTTTTGCCTCCAAAGATATTGCGACTTTAAATATTTTACACTAGCAAACCATTTTTTGTTGTAATCGATACCACACTCGCAAACTACCTGAAATTTGGAAGTTGGCTCACATCACACTAATTTTCAAAGAAGGTTGACGCAGCGAACCTTGAGCTATTGATCGGTGGCTCTTCTCTCTATACCTTCAAAAATTATGGGGTCCGTGATATGCGACGGTATACATGACTATTTATCATCCTTCAACCTATTTTCACCCCGAGAATATGGTTTCGGGAAGTGTCATTCTTGTATAACCAACCTGCTGACTGCGGTGGACAGATGGACAATCATCCTTGGCCGCAAGCTTAAGGGTGACGTCATTTATTTCGACTTCTCAAAAGCTTTTGATAGGGTCAACCACATATGTCTTATCAACAAGCTCAGGCGATTGGGTATCAGACCACCTCTAATTGATTGGCTCACTTCATGTCTAAAAAAACGACATTTTAAGTTCAGGGTTAACTTCACTTTCTCTCAGGCTATGGAATGTACAAGTGGGGTCCTCCAGGGACCAGTACTAGGACCTCTTCTTTTCTTGATCTATGTAAACGGTCTTCCACAATAAGTATCGTCTTACTTATCACTTTTTGCTGATGATGTGAAACTTTGGAGAATGGTACGCAACCAAGAGGATATACTGGCACATAAGAAATGACTGGGCCTCGAAGTTGGGCATATCAAAATGGACATACCTTTAACACTTGTAAAGCATTCCATCTGAGACAAGTTGCAGACTACGGTTATAACTTAGGAAACTCCTCTCCAGAAGCACCCCAAGTTGAAAACGATTTAGGAGTTCTGGTACCCTTCGATTTGAAGTCTTACGCTAACTGTCGCAAAAGTGCCTTTCGAGCATACCTTGCACTGGTAACATTGAAGCGCATTTTTAGCCAATTTGACGAAAGAACTTTCCACATAATCTTCAACAGTTTTATTTGTCCCCATTTAGAGTACGAAGACATAGTATTTTCTTCTTCACTCCGAAAGGATATGGACACTCTGGAGCATATCCAACGGCGAGCCAAGAAATCAGTTAGAGGACTCGAATTCAAACCTTATGAAGAGCGCCTCAAATAACTAAAGATTCACCTATTAGAGTACAGGCAGCTCAGAAGTGACGGTCTAATGGCTCGCAGTATCCTTAACACTTCTGGACATCCCCTTAAACATTCATTTAAGTTTAGCTCCAACACAAACCTAAGGCGTAACACCCAGTCATCGGAGACAAAATACAGCAAAACGGAATGCAGACACACCTTCTATTCCTTGAAAGTTGTCAAATGCTGGAAGTCGCTGCCGGCTGAGCTAGTCCAAGAGAATTCCAAGGAGTCCTTTGACAGGAAACTTGACCTATTTGCACTCAAGCAACCCAAGAAAATATTCTCATACATAAACTGCAGAACAAGGATGCATCATTGGATTCTAAATATAATTAAAGAAGGAAGTGAATCTGAAATGATAGAGGAAGATCAGGAAAACACAGCGGCTATATCTAACTATTTTGGGACAGTTTTCACCCAGGAATCTCCTCTAGAGAAAGAGTCAGTCCAAAATAAACAGTCAACAAACCACCCGCTCATCGTGGACTTCGATCAAGACGATTTGCTTAAGGATCTTAGCACTTTAAACATGGAAAATTCAACAGGACCAGATGAACTACACCCCAAAATCTTGTCACATCGCACAACACATCGCGACCCCACTAACTGATATTCAACATGACACCTGATCAGGGAGTGCTACCTATGGACCGGGAGGACGCGATCGTCACTCCCATACACAAAACAGGTCCTCGACAAGTTCCATCGAATTACAGACCTGTAAGCCTCACCAGTGTTGTGGTTAAAGTATTGCAAAGAACAGTCAAAAGGACCATAATGTCATTTATGGAAACCAATAACTTGCTGAACATGGAACAACATGGTTTTAGAAAGGGTCTATCTTGTACAACGAACCTCCTTATAACAAGGGAGTTCTGGATAAACGCGCTAGACAACGAAAACTCAGTGGATGTTTGCTAAATAGATTTCAGTAAGTCTTTTGACAAGGTGCCACCTAATCGACTGCTACTGAAGTTGAAAAACCTTGGTATTGACGGACCTTTTTAAAATGGATTAGGGATTTCCTAGTAGGTTGTAGACAGAAAGTAAGAATAAATTCCAAGTGCTCCATCTGGAGACCAGTACTTAGCGGGGTACCTCAAGGTTCCGTCCTAGGCTCTTTACTTTTTATAATGTATGCTACTGATCTTCCAAGTATAGTGCAATCTCCAATGTTATTGTACGCTGACGATGTAAAAATCTGGCAAGTAATAACTGAAGACAAAGACGCATGTGCTCTTCAGGCAGACTTAAATAACATGATAAACTGGTCTAAAGAGTGGCTGATGCCCATCAATGCGGAAAAGTGTGTCTACGTGCACTACGGGGATTCAAATGTTAATAGTTACAACATAGGGGATGTGTCATTACCCGTAGTCCGGTCTCATGAGGATCTGGGGGTGACAGTGAGTCATGATCTTGAGACGACGGCCCATTGCCGGGAGATCGCAGCTAAGGGGTTTCGAACCCTCTCGGCTTTAAAACGGACATTCACTAAGTTAGACACTACCAAGTTCACCACAGTATACACATCATTAGTGAGGACTAAGCTAGAGAACTGAGTTCAGGCTGCAAGTTACTGTCTGCAAGGTGACTCGGATATCTTTGAAAAAGCACAGAGGGCAGCTACCCGTGCAATTCCGGAACTCCGGGGTTTGTCATACAAAGAGCGGCTTGAAAAAATGGACCTCTTTACTCTGTCCTATCGCAGACTAAGGGGAGATCTAATTTTGATGTACAGAATACTGAGAAAAGACTTCGGACCTAACTTATTCTCTCTTTTTCTTCCCACTAGATCGGGACATCTCAGAGGACATAGCAGGCTAGTAGAAAAGCCAAGAACGAACAAAATACCCGTGGCATACAGGTTTTCACACCGAGTCATCAATACTTGGAACCTGTTGCCTGAAGCAGTGGTGTCCGTACCTTCAATTGACTCTTTCAAAAAAAGCTGGAAACTCACAGAAGCATACTAGAAAAGGGATGACATAGGCCGTAAGCCTTCTATCCTTGCTACACAAATCTGAATCTATTGTTAAGGAATAAGGAGTTATCAATATGTTTTTCCTCTGTTATTGCTAATATATCTAGGTTCCTGCCTGAAGATATCGGTGATCCACTGCTACTAGGTACGGAAGCCCGTTAAGCGAAAGCTTCTCTATTCCGCCCACAACCATTTGAACCATTTGAAATACCACCTTGACCTTGTAAACAAGCGCATCGTTTGAGTCTCAGCGCGTGGTTGACCAATGCTGAAATTCGGCATCGCTAATTCTACTGATGACTTTGAAATAGTAACAAAAGTCCCAAAGCTTTCGGTAGGTACAGTTGTTTTACATATTTCGGCAGCGTAAAAGACCTAAAACTGTGATTAAAAGTGCGAAGACCGGGAAGAAAAAATGCACAAAAAAGGCTAAGGAAGATGATCAAGTTTTGAAACCTGCGTGGACGGATGACGATGATATTACTCCACAAATATCAATCCGGTGTGTTTGGTTGTGTTAACTTATTTTATAGGCCTCCACGAGCCTTAGACGTGTTTGCAAAAATAGATCAGCTTAAAAACGTGAAATCGGTTGGCTCAGATGATGAAGGGAATTGCATTTCCTCTCGGAAATCTGCTGCATGTGATGAGAAAAGCTCTAAAATACTCTCTTACGGAAAGAAATAGGCGTTAAGAGACTTAGTGATGTCAATCGTGAGAGAAGGTCAATGGCTTCAATCGTATCAACTGAGTTCAATACACACCACCGTATGCTTTTAACTGCAAGCGTAGATAGTACTATGGCTTTTTTCAAGGTGATATTGATTTACTATAGGTGTTCTATAACCTTTGAAACCGCATCCAACTGTTTTGTTTTAAATGTATTAATGTTTATTAACTGACTCTGTTCATGCATACTTAAATTGTTAAATCATCAGCTGATATAAGATAGGAAGTTAATTATTAGTTACAGCGGGGTTTATCCTGACTTTCTTTGGCAGGTTTTACCCAAGTCTTGGTGACTATCGTGTTAATATCGATACGTAACTTGTGCAGCTTCACTGGATTGTTTTTACTGAGGATATTTTTATGTTAGTCCGATTATTTAAGGTTTGAATAATTTTTTCTGGTTAGCATTTTTAGCGAGTTAGCCTTCTACGGGATGGGGTCGCTAACCCCACGCCCATCCCTTCTCCTTTATCCGGGCTTGGGACCGGCAGTAGCCCTCGGGGGGACTCCAGGCGGAGTTTACGTAATACGTTGAGAACTTCACCTTTCAATGAAACGGTGAACTACTGGTTTTCAAACCTAAGCCATCTACTCTAGTCCGAACAGCTGGTTGATATGATTAAGCCTCAGAAAAAACAGTGACTCAAATTCTGGTTTGAAATCTGTATTACGGGTTATAAGGAAATAATCACTTCATGTTTTAACTCCTTGGATGTTACCAAGTTGAAGTCATTCAAGTTCAGTTATCGATAGTAGACTCATTCTTTGTAATACCTCATTGACCTTTTGAATACTTTACCAATGTTGAAAGTTTTGTTTAAGTCCTATTCAAAGTATAGAGTATCATCATATGACTGAAAAATATACATATGATGAACCAAATTGTCTATTTCGTGCTGAAATTATAAGTGTAAATTGGGATTACTTTTGAGGTTAAACATCACTTCTAATCTTCGTATGTGTATAGTTTGTTTTACAGAAACAAACTTAACCTCTGTCGAAATAATAAGCGTATATCACAGTTCCAAAAGTTAGATTCATTTTCTTTTGACTCGTTTGCCAAACCAATTTCTGTGTATTTGATATGTCGCTAGTGAAAGTAAATGTAACTCACCAACGAGCGTGAACTGATGGACATTCAGCTCACTGTCTGTTAATTATGCGATTTGGTTGCTACAGATTTCTGCTTTGAATTCACTGATTATAGACCACCTATTGTGTTGAATAAAGTACTTTCTAGTCTATACTGGTTCCCTGTTTCGGTTTGGGCACCCGGGCAGTACCACAACCCTCACACATATCAAATGAGATCTGTGTGACGCATATCTATTTGTGGCCTCATTGTACCAATATTTATGTGTTAAATAAATACTGGTTCCCTATTATTGGTTGTGAACCGCATATCTGGCGTAACGTGACTCGTCTGTGTATAGTATAGCGACCGAGTACAATTTCAATCACCGGTCCCATTATCGTAACAAAAAATAATTTTTCCCTCCGTTGTATCATTCATTATCAAATGGATTAATAGACTTATTACATAAGTCCACACTCTTCTTGCGAATCTGCAGAGATTATCTGTGCAGCTCTCGTAGAAATATTTGGGAGACGTCATAGAGTAACATCTTATCGTTTCGGAGATTCGAGTAGACCAATGTGTGATTGATGGAGACTCAGGTACCCACTTGGTTTCATAGTCACAGTATACCTGGGAATATTTAATCAAAAAGGAACATCGACATCTGTTTTGTGGCAAACATCATCAAGACAATCATTTCAAAACGTTTCGATTTCGTTGTAAGAATCTACATTTTATTCTTTTAGTTTCACAGCCTACTCATGTGTACGTGGATATACATTTTTAGAGTAGTTTTGAGACGCTTTTCTTAATCCGAGGTAAGCTTCTTCAGCTCGTCAGATTCAAAGTTTGCGTCCTTATCTTTTCATGCCTTTGGAGCTTCTCATTGATTATCGAGTTCCAGTTTTGAATACTGCAAATATTTATGATAAATCTTGTAAAAGTTATTTTCAGTAATTTTGCCGCTTACGTTATCAATGTTGCTGTACCTTATGGTGGTCTTGTTTGATTATGGTTTAATTACAAATTAGGGCTAGGGAATATCTCGTACTTCCAAATTCTAAGTGGTTGCTCTCACCTTGACCTAATGGTTAAAGCAGTATATCGTATTCATCGATTACTGAAATTACATAATCCTATGAAGTTTGATTATCATTTATATTATGTCCTGTTGAAATATAGGTTGATGGCTCGGAAAATGCACTACTGCGTGATCGTGTGTATGAAAACTTTTCTCTTTCCTCAGCTAAGTTTACAGCTTACGGTGATAAAGTTATTTTTACCGGGAATGTTGGCTCGTTTCGTGTAAGTAGGTTTTAATCCTAACTGTTTTAATGTTTCTTGATTTTCTGGCCACAGTAAATTTTATTAATGTTGATTTGTAATTATGAACAGTTATTAGATTTATAGTGTCTATGTTCTACAACTTCCTCATAAAGATTTACTGAGACAAATACTTCTGTTATTATTAGGTTACTTATACTAAGTAGAACGTTGATTTCACTTCCAGCTGTTTATCGGTACAAATGGGAATTAAAATGAATATGTGCTACACAAATATGGGAATGAGATAGTGAAAGAATAGAGGAAGAAAGGAGATTATAGTATAGTAAATAGATGAATGGAAATATGTTGTCGGGAATAAACTATGATGGAAAAAACAAATCAGTCGAAAAAATGGAACTAGGAAGAGTTTTTTTTAGTTAAAAAGATTTCTTTCACTTCTACGGAACATGTAAATGAAGATTATGGCAGGACTACCATTGCCATCTTTTTGAGCCATGTCTAATAATGTCTCAAGTCACTAATTTGCACCGTCTGTCTGACCCAACCAGGGAGTCATGAGGGACCGACTTATGACAATCGTTTATTTTTAGCAAACACAAATCTTAAGCATAAGGAGAGACATCGTCTAACATGGCGACCCCCTACACCAAACCAACGATGGACTCAAATAGACCAAATTGCCATCAGTCATCGTTGGAGAGGGTCGGTAGAAGGTTATCGCTCATTCTGGAGTACCTGCTTGGACTCCGACCATGTCCTAATGCGGGCACGCATCTGCTTGCGCCTCACTGGACGCAAAAAAGCCACATTGAAAAGGCCCATTAGAACTGAATTGAGCAGTGAGAAAACCAAAAGTAGGTTCCAGGGACAACTGAGGTCACACTTAGGTAGTTCTGAAAACGAGGCTGACCCAGATGTTGCTTGGAAAGTTATACAAACAGCTGTGGAAACAGCAGTGACATCTATCAGTGATTTAAACTACAGGGTTACAAAGAACCAATGGATTTCCTCTAGGTCTATTGCACTGATGGATTCTCGTAAACTCATCCCATCAGGCTCTGAACACGATGAAGAGCGACAACAAATCAGATCTAGCTTAAGAAAAAGTCTAAGGAACGACCGTGAGAAGTGGTGGGCAACGAAAGCAAAAGAGATGGAAAAGGCGGCGGCTATAGGAAACACAAGACAGCTCTAAAGACTAATAAAAGAAACTGGAATCGATAAGTCAAGTGTAAGTCAGACTATTTCGGAAAAAGACGACACCCTCATCTGCTCTCAGTCCAGACGTTTAGAATGATGGGCGGAACATTCCAGAGAACAGTTCAACTGGCCTTCGGTGACTCTACAACTACCCTCCATTCCCAGACAGAGTGAATGGAACATTGAAGTAGGTCTCCCAACTCTAGCAGAAGTTCAAAAGGCTATAGTTAATCTGAAACGAGGAAGGGCAGCTGGTCCAGATGGATTGGCTCCAGAGGTCTTTAAGGATGGTGGTCCAATTTTAGCGATTAGGTTGACTAATATTTTAGCTAAGATCTGCGAGTTAGACGTTATTCCATCTGACTGGTCACAATCACTTATCGTCCCAATACATAAGAGAGGGTTAAAATCATCCTGTGACAACCATAGAGGGATTAGTTTAACTAATATAGTATCTAAAATACTAGCCTCGATAATTATCAGACGCCTAACTAAGACTCGTGAACTGCAAACACGAGAGAATGAAGCTGGCTTCAGACCTGGTCGTGGCTGCATCGACCACATATTCACCATTCGTCAGGTTCTAGAACATAGGCATACTTATCAGCGTCCGACAAGGGTGGTCTTTCTTGACTTAAAAGCAGCATTTGACTCGGTAGACCGCGAGATTCTGTGGCAGTGTCTGTCATCGAAAGGCGTACCTCAGAAGTACATAAACCTTGTGAAGGCTCTTTACTCGAACACTACCAGTCGAGTCAGAGCTTATGGCGAACTGTCGTCTGCTTTTGCAACCTCAAGTGGTGTCCGTCAAGGCTGTCCACTTTCTCCATTTTTGTTTAACTTCATCATAGATCTACTGATGGAAATAACATTCTCGTCTACTGAATTCTCGGATATTGATCTCCTTCCAGGAGGTCCACTTATCGACTTAGAATATGCAGATGACATAGTCCTGTTTGGTGAAGACGCTGATAAAATGCAGAGTCTTTTGGTAGCACTCAGCAACAATGCCAGAATGTTTGGAATGCGTTTCTCTCCCTCTAAATGCAAGTTGTTGCTTCAGGACTGGTCTGTGTCAACAGCTGAACTAAGGATAGGGAGTGAAGTAGTCGAACGCGTTGACAACTTCACCTATCTTGGAAGTTTGATCAGTCCTAATGGGTTGGTGTCTGACGAAATCTCTGCACGGATTCGAAAAGCTCGCTTGGCTTTTGCCAACTTACGTCACCTATGGCGAAGGCGAGATATCCGTCTATCAATAAAAGGACGAGTATACTGCGCGGCAGTCCGTTCTGTTTTACTTAACGGCAGTGAAACATGTCCATCAAGATTAGAAGACACTCGTAAGCTACTAGTATTTGACCACAGATGCCTCAGAAATATTGCTGGCGTCTGCTGGGATCACCTGGTAAGTAATAGTGAGGTTAGACGCAGAGTATTAGGGAATGAAGGTAAATCAGTTGATGAGGTTGTAAATCTTCATCGACTGAGATGGTTGGGCCACGTGTTACGTATGCCCGAACACCGATTACCACGACGTGCAATGCTAACCGGTGTTCGGGATGGTTAGAAGAAGGGTTGTGGCGGCCAAACCAAAACGTGGCATCAGTGCTTGAAGTCACTAACTTCTAGTCTGAGCCATGTTGGTAGATGCAGACTACTTGGTTGGGGTCCGCATGACTATCGTAACCAATGGTTGGAGACTCTTGGTGACATGGCACAGAATCGATCACAATGGCGTCGGTGTATGCATTCTCTGTCTTCCCTTAAACTAAGAGATTAAAATCACTTCATATCTTTCTTTCCACGAACTAATTCTTTCTTCCTGTACTATATCCTTATATGCAATCTTTCTTTTATATATTACCACCTCTGAATTAACTACTTTTATGAATCCGGTGTTCATCTTGTTGTGCTAATGCGGTATGGCAACTTGGACCGATGCATATATGTGCCTGGTCCTACGTTGTAGCTGACTGACTGACTGATGACAGTCCTACGCAACTTTCTTTGATAGTCAGTGGGAAATTTGAAGCAGAATAGTAAGATTAAGAAAATGTCTAACCCCACTGCTGGGATTGAACAATGGGGAGACGTGGTTGCATGTTCTCGCTCTACCCGAGTTGCTTGTACATAGATGCCTTAATATGTTAATAAACTCGCTAGATACCCTCCTTAAATGGATAATCCCGTAATACTGTATTGTGTGGCGCATATGTATTTGGTGTCCCCTTGTACCAATATTTATGTGTTCAAATAAATAAATAAAATACAGTCCTACTCAACAAGTTGAATAATAACAATTGTTTGCCTGAGATAAATATGACGATGTTTCAATATTTATCAGTGTGAAGACTGGGTCAATACATTCACGACCGAAAATATAAATTAACCCGCTTGTAACGAATCAGCCTTTTAGTGGCTTTAAACAGTTTGCAAATTGTGATGGAAGTCAATCATTTGGACATAATCGGAAGTACTATTTTATTGTGGAGTAGTTAAGTTAGGTGTTATCAATGCACATGTTTCAGTGGCAATATAATAAACCACTCTTTTTGGTGAATTTTTCTAAAACTTTACAGCATTATTTAATACGTATGCCTTCCCTTTGTTATACACGACCTGTGGCATACTACTGATTGTTGTTATCTATTTGTATGGTGTGGGATACCTTATCGTATACACTCGTTTTATGGTGCCAGTGTTTTTAGTAAAACACTACACAGTTTTTTTTATCAAGCTGGTGTTCGACCGAATTAGACTTTAAAAAATCTACTTACTGTACTGTTTGTTTCTTGTTCTTTTTTCGAAATGAGTTTTTTGTTTGTTATTTATGTGTCTGATAGATTTATAATTTAGAAACTGGAAATGAAAGTCGTGCAAGACGATTTATTGGTTCATCAACAGACGAAACAATCACTAAATGTTTTATTTCACCAGTTCATCCAAATTTGGTAGCCCTGGGAACCAATGGAAGTGCTGTGTATCTGGCCGATTTACGAGTTAGTTTAAACTACTTATTTCAAAATAGTTACCTTGTCTTTAAAGAGAGTAAATCGTTTTTTATGCTAACTGAATGTGACATTAATAAGTTGGTTATCTAGTTATTCTATTGAGTTCTCCCAAGATAGGGAATGATTTACTTTTCTATGTAAAGACACGAGTTGTTTATCTAAGCAAAGCTGTGGATTGGTGTTCGTAACATTCAACTAGTAGATCATAGTCTCAAATCCTGCTCCACGTACTTCGATTTTGGCAGCCGGGTAATATCACTAGCCATCATAAAAACAATGTGATTCATAGCCGAGGAGATAAAATCGGTACTTGATAAATTAGTTACATTATTAATTTGATTCCGTTCATATGCACGTATTTAAACTACTGATATATTAGTTAAACAAATCATAATTTTCTTGTTTCTTATTAATTATTAGTTCGATTAGTATATGTGTATACATAGATATATAAATATTATCCCACCTATCCCCGTGGTATATTTTTAAAATCTTCAGTAAATAGTGTTGACAATATAGGTTGCCTGTAAGTTGTCTTTGATTTTTTTCTTTGGAAACATCAGTGCGTGATATATTACAAATTTCTTTATTCACTCATCTAAATATAACTATCAACTTGGTTTAAAAACTAACACTTATTAATTAAAAGAACTAACAATAATCAATTTTCATCTTATTTTGGCACATATTGTTGTTTACCACTCACTACTATCCGTAAGACGCTTTCATATGAAGAAAAGCTGTCAGTGTTGTTAATTTTAGTTCCAGAATGAAGCAGTGTTATTTCAGATAACATCGATAATAAAGTTTGTACCATTTAATGAGTATTTGAAGATCCAAGCTCAACCTGTCTAGTATGATACTGATTATCTCTTGTGTATCATCAGTTCACTTGTGTGTGTACCTCATATTCTTGTCCACACGAGTTGATCGTGTCTCCTCTACAAGGGTTTGAAAATAACGATGATTACATTTAAGGTACAATGAAATACAGTTCCTTCATAAGTTAGAAAATGATGAATCATCCTAAAATGAATAAGTTTGTCTTATTTCTCGCCGTTGTTTTTACAGAGTTTAGAAAAAATTTCAGTTATGAGAGCAAGTGGTATAACCAATTCAATTTGTTTCACTCAAGATGGAACATTTTGAATACTTATGGGGTAAGTTTCAAAACAAAGCTTTACATTGAATAGTTTGTTTAGTTTTATTTGCACATTCCTTTCAGTAATGAAGGAGAAAATATGATGCGTGTTTTTGTATATTGATTATTTAACATCAAATTGTTTCGCATAATTTGCAATGTAAATGGTTCAACTCATATACACTAGAATGCAGGTATTCGGTTGGAAAACTACCGTACTCATATGTAACTCCATTCTTCGATCTCATTCTTTTGAACTATTTCCCATCTGCAGACTCTTATTGTTTTCGAAATTATTCACTGTCTCATATTTTTCTTGTTGTTCATTTCCTCTATGTGTGTTGATGTAAAACATGTCATACCTTACATTGATGACTGTCTGGTTGGAACGTATGTGCAACTAATATCAGTACAGTCCAGTTAGTCAAAGTTGGTTGAATGAGTTTAAACCAGCGGGAAAGTTGAACAAAAATTGGGTTAACGTTTCCACGAATTTTTATCCATACTTGTAGCATGATTTATGTTCGGCCATCTTTTCTGATCGCGTCACTATTATGAAAATGTAACAAAGATACTGAACAGACAGATAAAAGCAATTATCATTAGACTTGGTACAAATATGCATCTGTTCGCGTTGTCAAAGTTCATATCACCAAAAGAAGAAATTGACAGAATAGGAAATAAAATAATGGTAGTGGTCAACTAAATAAATGCAAATCGTAAATAACTCACGAAATCGTAAAATGTAAAATATTGTCATACTCAGTACTTTGAGAAAGTTAAAAAAAATGAATGGATGGTTTTCGATAAGGATAGTCTTGAACTATATCACCTAAGTTCACTGACCATGGATTACGGTTATTCTACAAATCCTAACCGGGAAGTTTGAGCCTCAACTAATTAAGAGAGTATCATAATAAGGGCTCTCTCAAATCGGTGCTTCATTGTAATAATAATGTTTTGTGTCCTACTTACCTTTTATAATTCATATAATCAATGATAACTGTTTACTATCTCGTTTAAATTTACAATTTACTTTTGTTAGTTTTAATAGTTTTCTAATCTGGTTAATTTTAGCTGAAGGTTCTATCTATGTATTTGATCTACGAGTTAATAAAGCTAGAATTATTCATCGTTGGTTTGATCAAGCCAGTACAAATGGTTTATCTATCACTTCTTCACCTAATTCACAATGGATTGCTTGTGGGTAAGATAATTGATCTTAACTAATCGTCTACAAATGATCAAAATTATATGAAAATTGGTAATCGTTAGCAAATGTTATACTAATATTCGAGTTATATCTTTACTTTATAAATTCAGATAAACAACACTGTTTGTGTGAATTAAATTTAATACATATTAAATATTTACATATTGTTAAGTGTTTTGTTAAGGCATTACTGTTGTTAGTTAATGAGCCATAGATACCACCATAACTACATGTTACATTTTACTGATAACTAATTCACGTCATCTATCTATAATTATGTTACTCAATCTCTGTCCAATTGTTGAATAGGTTGACTATACTGTGAATCTATCTTAACTGAGATGATTGAAATGTAGATAACAGATATCTGACCACTGTCTATTTTGATGTTCCGTACTAAGTAGTGTACGAGGGGTGGAGTAAGTTGGAAAAAAGATCGGAAGCAATGAGATTATTATAGAACACCAATCTACGAATTTATTAACTATTAACTTTTCTGTTTTTGAGGTTCAAATATATATTAATTGTTGTCACTAAAATAACTGTAATCAATGGTTGGACGACTAGAAGTATCTCGGCATCAGTCAAAGTGGTCTAGATACATTTATTTCTTATTATCATTTAGTTCTTAAACATAATACTACTTCTTATACATATTAAGTAATATAACGTTTCTATACTCTGTTTGTGTAGTATTTTGATGAAGTTGCCAAGTGGATTTTAATCCGCATATATATACTCTCTTAGAAATACTTTTCACCTTAAATAATTTCATGTTATAAGGGCATAAGTCACTCATTGATTCTACTTTTTTTTCGTCAGTACAGATGATATTGTCAGAACACCTTGTTTGTTGACTTTAAACAGTGAACTAACTGTTGTGTAAAACTAAATTCTATTGTATCGAGTTTCTTCATCTTTAACCTAAGGAATAAATATTACTCAATACGCACTACCACCTCCTGAATATTGAATAGCAAATTATAAGAACTTTAGAGGGAGCTTATATCAACAAACAACTAGAGTAGCGATGCGGTCACCTGCATCATCTTTAGTTGCAAATCTATTCATAAATAATATATGCAGGTGTACATTCGGTGTATTCTTAAGCATACTTAAGCTAGAAATATACCTAAAAACACGTTGATACTTTCGTGGTATTATAGACCACTTGTTTTTGGGGAAACTGAGCAATGAATCGCCCAGTTTTAAGTTTACCTCAGATTTAGAATCAGATAGCACTGAATTGCTTAGTTAAACGTAATGAAAATGAATATTTTAGTATGACTGTTCAGTAAGAAAATAAACTTTGGCGAATATCTTGATTTTTAACCGTTACACTACACCAGTTGTCTTCATTCTTTTAAGAAGGACACACACTTTGATAGCAAACATGAAGGAAATCGAACAAGGACTAACTAACTATCCAATAAAGTTTGTTCACAAAATAGGAACAAATATTAAGCCTAACCGAAAAATTACTCTGGAATCATGAACTACAACAGTCATCATTGTATACAGAACATAAAGCTAAAATCTCAACAAATGTAACCTCAGGGTATTCTTTAAAGCATTAGATACTACAAAGCGAATTCGTTCATCCGAAAGTCAAAACACCGGAGAATTCACAATCTAATCGTATCTGTGAAATATGATGTTCAGGATGTGACTCAATATATATCGGACAAAATTTTCGAGAAATCAGTATCAAAAAGTAACTGTCGTATAGCCTCTGTTCGATCACTGAAAACTTGGACAATGGAAAACCAGCTATAGATTCACTTGCTATAATATCAGATCATAAGACTGACTAGAATCACATTGAAATCGTTCAGGAAAATGTCAAAATCATAGGGAACGTCTCGTAGGAGAAATACTTTACATAAAATTAAGTTTGATTAGGAATAAGTGTATAAGACAAAATTTGAACTGGCTGCAAAACACTCCTTCCACAAGCGAACTTTGTCAATACGGATATGATGAGGATTTTTCTTCACATTAACACATGCTGTTTCCTGTATTTCTTAAATTCACCAAATCTAACAATTTACATCTGTCTGTTTTCTTTATCAATCCAGTCGCTCTACAACGCAGAATTACTTCGTATAAAAGAACTTTGATGGAATTATAATGTATGAGCTGAGATATATGTAAATTCTAGTTGACTGGTGCTTTGATAAGACTGTTATCATCAGTAAAAACAACTTTGTTTTATTTTCCACTCATTGGAAAATTCATATATCTATGTTAAGAATGCTAGATCCCCAGAAATCATTTGGTAAACGTCTTATTTTGGAAGTTTGAACTTCTAAATTTTCGCGACAAGAGCGCCCACTTTTACCTCCAGTTTGTATTTTTTACTTGGAAGGACCTTAAATGTCATTGGTTCGTTCCCTTTTTTAGTACGCTATTTTGTGGCGTTTTCCAAGGATATTTTTGCGCTGTATATATACACGAGTTGTGGAATATACATTTCCCTCAGCTGAATATGATCTTCTCCCTCTAGTTATCAGGGCTGGGGCGCAGTGGGATAGCATAGCTTTTCCTGTTGTAGTGTTGGTGACTTTCATTCCGTTCGCCGGTTTTAGGCGATGTCGTGATATCTTCAAACGTAGCAATCTAGTAATACTAAATAATCTAAATGCTCGATTAAATAATGTGAAAATTTAAAAATCTCTTATGATCTCCCAACTTACTTGTTTCTCATGTTTTATTCACTTTCAGTGTTGCCTATTTGTTTATTTAATAGATGAATGTTAAACTAATATAAGGCACTATTTACCGAATAGTTTCATTCATTTCTTTTTTCTTTTCTTCTCACTTTTTCCTTATTTTTTAAAAATAGAATTTATCTAATCCGTAGAATTTAATTATTTCTCAGTATACTCATTTTAAAAATATCACTTTCAGGGCAAAACAAACTCACTTTTGAGATATATTGTGATATTTTCCAAGCATTGAAAACTTATTGTTGTTATTCATCTGTTCATTGTTTACATTAAGTTCTAAAATGAAATGAACATTGCGTGTAGGGCGCTTTCTCATTTCAAACCTTTTTATTTACATGTGATTTCTAAATATTAATCTCTACTCGATTTAATTTATTCGTGCTGTCACGCGTGTGTTTGTGTAAATTTAGATCAAGAATTCTGGTCAATTAGATTAAATCTTTACGATTTATTAAAGAGATTATCGGAAATGTCTTTATTTGATAGACTATCGATGTAAGTTTGTGATTTCGAAAGGACCATTTGTCTTGATTAGTTTTACAGTTTAATGTCTGAAATGGTCGATTTTTAGCCATATTTTAAGTCCGGTTTGTTTAGGCAGTATTTCTATCTATACTGACCTTGTAAACAGGAGAAATCTGCAGTAATTTACATGTAACAGTTTGTTACAAACTGTTGATTTGCGATTTTGCTAGCTAACTATTATAACATTTACTCATGCACGACTTGTATGAATCAACTTACTACTTAAATCTGCAAGCTCATGCTTACTAAATGTAATATTGTAGGAGCTGAACTTGTCGTCTTGATTCAGATTTACTATCATTTTTCGGGATAGACAATTTTTCAAACCGCTTGATTGTGAAAAGCCACTGATCAGGTTGATTGATGTGAACTAATTACTTGATTTGACGTATAGTGTGGTTAAAGTAAAATAAAGCTCGAAGGTAGATAAGGGTTAAATCGTGAGATGACACAAGTTCATGATGATATTAACTATTCGTCTGTGTACTGTAGGAAGGCTTGTACTGTGAATAAGGTTATTGGTATGACAGAAATCAATAGTCAGGAAAGCCTTCCGTAGCATTGATCAAGTTTGACCAAAGTAGCGAAGTACCCAAATCTTGTTGGTCCAAATTCTGGATACCCTATCACTTTCCATATGATTCCCTATCCTACCTTATATCCTTGTTTATTTTAGTCTCTATTCTTTTTTATTGATTTCCCTAAGTGCACTGTAGGAAGTTATGATCTTTTCAATCAGTGTACTTTTCTACGACAATCTATTTGTCACTGATATGGTAAATACAACACTTTGTTTACGATGAGCTTTTTATACATTTGACATAAAATGCTACATACTACGCTTTTTTTCAGTCAGCATCAAATTGAATAATTACACATTTTAAGATGAACTGAAATTAATCATTCTAATTTGTCTCAAGTAATTTTTATCATATTGCGTTCAAATATTCTTTAAATTTCTGTCTTGTTTTACACAACTTTCAATGTCAAAGTAGATTTTATTCTTTATCATTCACATTAGATTATAAACTGCACGTATTTTGCATTCTAATTATTTTCTTCGATTGAATGGATGTTATACAATTGTAATCGAGAGGTAAATCTCTTGGATTACCCGTTCAACTGACGAACTTATCTTTATCCCTTCTGGTAAGATGATTAGAACTAGTAATGATTCATGAGCAATTTTATCGCATGAAGAGTCACTTCAATTGCTTGTGTTTTCAACTTATCTTTAGTTACATCAATTAGGCAAGGAATCTTGGCATTGTTCAGAAAGACAATGAAAGTTTCACAGTAATACCATCTTCACTGAGCACAACATCAAAATATTTGTTTCGAACTACAAATTTTGTCCATCAGTACAGAATTTATTGGTCAGAATGTTCTTTTCTTGTTATTGATAGCATAACCATTATTGTAAGTTTGATTCTCTGATTATGAATTTATCAGAAAGCTGTTTGCTTCGTTAACTAGTTCCAATACAATCATAATTTATTTATACACAAGGAATTTCTGTTTTGTTTTTTTATTATAATTTATCATACTTTTTATGTGCTTTTACTCAACAGGGCAGATAGCGGTTATGTAAATGTTTACAAATGGTCATCTACGATGAATACAGAGAATCCACTACCTGATAAAGCTATTGGTAATTTAGTTACCGGTGTTAATTCGCTTTGCTTTCATCCCTCTAATGAAATTCTTTGTCTGGCTTCTTCACAACGTCCGGATGCTGTTCGACTTGTATGTTTTCCTAATAGCTGTCATATTTGGATAATTTATTAAAGTGTCATGTGGCGGTTAAAGCTTTTGACTTTCACGGACTAAGTTTCAAGTTCAAACTCCGCTTTACCTATTTCGGCTTGGGCAACCGAGTGGTATCAGTAGCCTGCACACTTTGAGTATGGCTCATTCTCAAACACCTGACGAATAGGTTAATCAATTATCCGAATTAATTTTTCTTTATTCAAATCATTACATAAGTTTTCAATGAAGCTGACAGAGTATACACCTATATTTTTAGACGGAGAACCCACAGAATACGTATGTTTTATAAGAGTCTTAGTGATGTATCTGTCTAATAAAAAGTTAACTGACGAATCAAAGTTAATGTATTTGTTAAAACAGTAGACAGGGGCTGTTTCCAGTGCAATGCAATATTGTGAATTATTACTATCATTTGAAGGTCATAAGAGTACTTTGACTGGTTTTGGAAGGTCAACAGAGATTTTTGATATGATGAAAATAAATGGTCGTTAAATTAAAATGTACTCTTAGGATCTTATGGCCTTCTTCGTTGGCTGTCAGTGTACGATAACAATTTGATCTGGTTCATAAATTTATTCCCATGTCAGTGGTTGTTAAAGCACTTATTATGATCCCTTTTTCCCAAAAACTTGTGGGTAAGCACCTGTCTACTACTTATAAAACTAGTGTGTTCTGCCTGATCTCCGTCAAAAAAATATAGGCGTATATTTTCGGAGTTTAAACCATATCCTGTCCTGATAAATTAACATATCTAATGGATTCTCAACCTCTCTCATATAATACAGTCTCTTGTTCGATCATGGCGAAGTTATTATTGTTATGGAATGAGCGGATTCTGATTCAGTTAAGAAATTGTTAGTGGTAATAATACATATGCTTCATTAAGAGAAATACGTATTTTTTGTTGATTATTAGGCACCGACAATAACTTACCCCTTAAAATCACATATAAGCTTATAATCTAAAACATTGATTTCTGGTTCGTCAGTGTCTTATTTAAACATTAAATGTCATTAAATTCAGTGTATAACACTATCTAATTGAACAAATGCATACATTGCTACTAATTTTACCATGTTACAGCATCTTTCCGAATTAAGAAATCACCTATATCCATATAAATCATCCCTAGTCTATGCATGTAAAACTAATTTTGAAGTGTATCTTTTAGTTGTATTATTGTCTCCTTACATTTTTGAGTTTCAAGTGGCTTGTGAGTGCCTAAAGTTTAGAAGTTAATTCAAACACCGATGTTTGATTATAGGCATGAAAATGTCCTATTTCTCTCTTCCTTTGAGGCGATAAAATGTGGTTTACATATTGCCGGTTAAACTAATGTTTCAGTTGATCAGTGACCTTTGAAATACTACCTGATTCATACTTTAACACGTTCTAATATTTTCAAATTTATTTTCATTCATATTTATAATGGTAGGCTTTCGTGTAGCTTATAGATGTGCTTGATGTTTAATAGTAGATTTTTATCATCTTTAATATTCACATAGATAATCGTTAATAAGGTCGAATGTTGAATTGTATCCACTATTCTCTGCTTGTTAATATTATCTATCGTATTTGATTTTATGACCACAGCAAATGTTGGACATCGAAACGCTTCCTTAGTATATCATCTTTTCTTGGAATATTTCTTTCGATTATCTTTAATCTTGAATTTCTCATCACAATTTTGTGTAGTTGACAGTTGAACTAGTCATTATGTAAAATTCCATCAATTTAGCCTTGTTGAAACATGTCACCCTAATGTTAGTAGGAAAATATACTTAAAACTATCGAATATTAGTAGTAACGTTTTGTAATGAATTCTAATTCCTTAGATGTCTACCATTCACTGAACAGTGGTTGAATTAGAATCGAATTAATGATGGAGTCAATTTCAAAAGCTAGTTGATTACTATCTTGTGTTAATCGAGGTTTTTTTAAACCTTCATCATCACTTGTGTTATTAAATTAAAAATGGTTGATTATTTTATATAACGAGATTTTGTTAAGACTAGTTTAGTTGGGGTATAATGCATTTGAATATTGACATTCAATGATCAACCTTTTCTTTATCTCTTAATAGCTTCATATCAATTTCGCCATTTTTCTTCCTGTTTAATTTCTTTTTGTGCATATTTATTTTCAGTATGATGTAAACGAAAGTATAATCTTTGAAAACTTTCCCGCTCGTGTTGGTACTTTAAACAAACCCACATCAATTGGATTTAGTCCTGGTGGGCGATTTCTTTGTGTTGGACAATGTAATGGTCGCGCTGCTCTTTACGCTTTGAGTCATTACAACGACTATTGATCTGAATCAGTCACCATTGTACATAGGTACTTTCTATTTGATTTTGTTCTCAAGATTTGTGTACACATTAAATTGTTTAAAATAAAATTAAGTTCGATGATTATGTGATATTTTTTTCACTGATGAAAATGGTTATATTGTTGATCAGTACTTTTTTCCTTACTAAGATGTATGGATGCGAATTTAGTTCTTTGTGAACAATTTCCTTATTGACAGACTAGCGTTTTTATTTTTATTTATTTGATATATATATATATATATATATATAATAACATCTCGAGGCACTGAGTTGCACCATCTGTATGACCCAACCAGGGAGTCACGATGGACCGACTTATGACAGTCCTACACAACTTTCTTTGATACCTCAATCCCATATCATAAACTGGGTACCATTGTACTTTTTTCCAACCGGTTTCAGCGTTGGCAAATAAAGCATGATGTGAGAGTCACTGTTATGATATCCATAAGAAATGTCCAAGTCAGTGTTCGAAGATGTTGACACGAAGTGATTTATGGTCATTGTACCTGAACATGCGTTGGTGAACCTGAGCTTTAATGATACGATGTTTGCAGTAAATGTCAGCAATGCTTCGGAAACAAGGATAATGAGGAATAGAGTGTCGTCTAACATAATGAACTTGTATAGTCTAGGTTTGAAAAATGTAGAGGAAATACTTATTTTTGATTAAGATCAGGAATCGATTGATGTTGGACCACTATCAAAAACCTGGAAGCACTGGATGACCGTTCATCCTAGTACGGAACTCCTCAGCAGTGCGCAAATCGGTACTGAACTTCGGTGTTCGGTTCATCAGTAACGGATATCATTAGGAAAACTATTTAGTACTGAAGAACAGTTGGGAGCTGATCTGCTTTAGTTTGAGACTCATATATAGTGTAGATCTATGCAGTTATGATTCAGTGGCTTGATAAAATCCTGAGCGTCACAAGATTTTTCAGATCCAGGTTTCATTGTTTTGTCGTGTACGTTGTACCTCCAAGTTTCAATTGCATTTTATTCTTTTCTGTATCAGTTAGCCCACGTAACCGTCGTAAAATAAATCGTTGGTAATTATTTATTTCTCTAAATTTGTATATGTTTATCTGTTGATAATAGCGGCCACCTACCTAATAACTGGTAACACTTCAGATTACTCTCCAAACCTTAACCGGCATTTGAAGATGCTTCCCTACCTAATAGTTAAATTTCAGTCGCTGATTCGTGATCAAATAATTGGCGTGCAGTTTTCATTTTAATATATCTGGTTCATCCAGTTTCATATCCAGTCAGTCAGCTACAACGTAGGAAGATGTACACCAGATTCATAGAAGTAGTTACTTCAATGATAGTAATATATAAAAAGAAAGGTTGCGTAGAGGGATATAATACAGGAAGAAAGAAATAGTTCGTAGAAAGAAAGGTATAAAGTAATTTTAATCTCACAGTTTAAGGGAAGACAGATAGTGTGTACACTGACGCTATTGTGATCGATTCTGAGCCATGTCACCAAGAATCTCCAACCATTGGTTACGAAAGTCACGCGGACCCTAACCAAGTAGTCTGCATCTACCAACATGACTCAGACTAGAAGTTAGTGACTTCAAGGACAGATGCCTCCGTATTCGAAAAGTAGTCTAATTTTCCGAGCTAGTGAAAAATCTAACCGAAAAGAAAAATCAATCCATTTTCAGTAACTCACTACTTACTTACGCTTGTTACCCGTCATAAATGTACATAGACCGCCCACTAGCATTCTCCATCGAACTCTGTCCTGAAAAATCCTTTTCAGCTGCTATTCATCCTTTTGATGTAACTTATTACATTTCACATTTATTTTAGTACTATTAAATTATTGAGTTAAGAATCACGATGGTAATGTTACGTTTACGTGATTGTATCATCTACTGAATATATTCATTATTTAGGAATTCCAGTTGGTGCTCTTCAATCACTTCTAAGATTGAAAAAGCCATTAGTATTTTGTAATAAATCTCAGATAAATATATCTTCACAGTGAATGTCTAGAGATTTCCTATCATTTAAGGATAATTTTACTACATTTTTCGGATCAACTCCGTCTTCTCATTGTTCTATCGAAATTTATAAAAGGGACTAATTGCTTTAAATTTTACTATGAGCTAATGTCAGTTGGAATACCGTTAAAATCTAGAGATTGCTAAGTATTTGTCTTGTTTTTGTTTGAGACTCCTCATCATTACAAAGCTACAAAAGACCAAGCTCGGTTATTCTTCTAAAGTTAGTTGGTAGAGATTTATTCAACTATTCAATGCCCGTAGTATAGCTTTTAGTATTGTAACTTGTTCTATCAATAACTGAATACATGGCGAAATTCTATTTTCAAAAAATTATATTTTTTGAAAAAATTGTACTATATTTAATCTCGGTCACACTGATGATTAGTTTCACATGTCAGCAATCAACATATGCTGGAATACTTGAGAAACAGTCAAATATTAACATACAACTTTAGGAATGGTGTAGGTTCTTTTTTTCAAAAGAATTAATACTGCTGTTAGTGGATAGCTTATTTCAAGAAAAATATGAAAGGAACAGTATCAAGTAATTTAAGTGAATAAGTATTTTAATAGAAATTCAATTGACATATTGACGGCTGAGTTAAAGTATGATGGTGAATTTGAGCGATTTTTCTAGATTGACCTTGGGGAACGTTTGTTCCTCTATCGGTCAATAGGAGGAAAAATATAAAGGGTTAATTTATAATACGAAATGAGAGAATTTACTATGTAAATTTTCTGAGTAATTAGTGAATATTTCTAGATTGCTTATCAGTTATTCCGCCTTGAATTCAAAGAAAAAATCCGACATAGGCATCCGTCCACATGCATATATACCGTTTTACCTCGGGTACTTTAAAAAGTCTTAAGCACAGTTACATAAAATAGTTACTTACATATCCGGCGTTTTTCCTCTTTTACGTATTATGGCTCTTTCCATATTAACGACTACGCCGACATTATCAAAAGATAATGGTAGTCGTATTGTCTGGTTCTGAAACATTTGCCAAAGAAGTTTTAGCTGTAAGCAGGATCTTTATTATCCAATGCATTATCAAGAGCTTTAATTGTTCTAATATTAAAGCAGAACGAGAGAAAAACGACTCACTGCTGATCGACTTCCTGTTCACAAGGTATTGCTGCATTTTGTAATTCTTCCGACTCCTTGGTAGCAATTTTATCTCTCGCAGACGACTTTTTCTTAACAATCCGAATTCTTGTGCTTGATCATGCTCACTTAATTAGAATGAGTCATAATGTTATCAGGATCATGATGTGATGTGTTTACCATCACCTTGAGACCACTTTCTTGACTCAGGTTTGGTATTATTTTTAAACTTAACCACAACTGAGATTCGGCGTCTGTTATTAGGCCCATATCCAAATGCCTGAGGATCAGCAAATATTCAATCAGTACGTTTAAGTCCAGGTTTGAAACTAGCCTGATTTTCTCACATTTACCGTTTGCGAGTCCCAGTTAAGTTTTGAGTGATTATCGATGCTATCCTCTTGGATCACAATATTAGCCAGACTAATTCTTCTGTGATTATTATTGAAATATTTGTCCCTACAAACGGACATTCAGTGGTTGCGATCACAAGATACTGTAAATTTTTACAGAACCCAAAGTGGATTTCAAATTTGAATATGTAGGTTTTCGTATTGCATGTATTCTGTCGAACTAAGTAGTTTAATTTCCAATGATCGAAAATGGGATTCGACAAATCGTTAAACTTTGAACCTGTTACTGTGCACTTTATTATTAGTTTGCTGATAAAGAAATTCATTACTTTTTTATAAGATAACCCTAGGTTTTAATCAGTTACTCAAACTCTCAGCTATGATTTTAATTACTTTATTCATTTTAACTTGCGATCAAACGGTCCCTCGGATGATTATTATGCAATCAACACATCGTTGTGACATTGATTGGAGAAATATTTCTATTCAGCGCATAATCGGTAACAAGTCTGCACTATTTGAGAGCCTTACTCTCCTTCAACTTTCCAATGTATTCATATTTATTACTAACTTTTGTTGATTACCGTACACATTTATAAAACTGTTTAATTTGTCGTTTTACACTTTAGAGTTATCGGTTAGAAATTACTTCATTGTGACATCATATCAAACAGTGACATATCTAGTAATCTATAATTTGCTTTAAATATAGTTTAATTTGCCAAGATCACATTTAACAGTTCTATTTATTTATTTATTTGAACACATAAATATTGGTACAAGATAGCGCCAATATATATATATATATATATATATATATATATATATATATATATATGCGCCACGCAAAACAATGAGAATGGGAAGAGAAAAAGAGAGTAGGGTGCGTATAAGAAAAAAACGATAACAATCACAGATTAGTATAAAGTAGTGTAATAATAATAATAATAATAATAATAATGTGGGAAACAGAAAGGTATAACCAGAAGAATTCTTTTAGTTAAGGAAGTTACAACCACTTTTTATGAAGAAAGTGAAAGAAGGTTACAGCAGGATCGCCACTGGCTTCTATTCTGAGCCATATCTGATAACGTCTCTAGCCACTGTGTTGTACCATCTCTCGGACCCCAACCAGGGAGTCGTGAAGGACCAACACAAGCCAGTCCTTTGCAGCTTTCTTTCATACCACGACACCATGTCATGCACTGACCACCTCTCCGCTTCTTCCAACCAGTCCCAGAGTCGGCAAACAATGCATGACGTGGAATTCTCTGGGACGACATTCGTAGAACATGTCCGAGCCACCGAAGTCGGTGTTTCAAGATGGTGACATCGATTGCACTATAATCTCTGTGCCCGAACACACGATGCCGAACCTCTGCATTACTGACATGATGTTGCCACTGAATGTCAGCAATCCTTCGGAGACAGCGATGATCGAACACAGAGAGTCGTCTAACGTCCTCAACTCGGAGATGCCAGGTTTCACACCGACGCGT